GAGAAAAAAGAGAAGTTTGTCGTGACGTAGTGCGATGACGTCATCGCGGTGGCGTCGCTTGATGTCATTTTATGACGGTGTGACGCTATCCTATGATGCGTGACATCATCCTGTTATGCAATGATGATCGCAACTGGGGGGGGGCATCATTCTGTTAACACTAAACAGATCACATTACAACAGATTACATTAAACATTACATTCAATTACGAACGATTTAATATTACATCGAGGGTATTGTTGCATTGTAGTGTAATCTAATTATAAAGTTATGATACGCTGAGAGTCCGGTTGAACTTTCATTCTCATTTTTTACACAGGGAAGAATTGATGACTGTGAATCAGGAACTGAGGACCAAGATTGCTGAGCTAAAGTTATTGTTGTTGTAGTTGTTGTTGTTGTTGCTGCTGCTGCGGTTGTTGTTGTTTGTTATCACTATCATTATGTTAATTTTTCTTCTCATGTCGAAATAATCCAGTCGTACTAGGTCTAAGTTGACATGATGTTTGGTTTAGCAAACTTCCAATATTAATCGGTTGTTCGTGAATTGTTTAATTGATTAGTTAATTGTTTAATTGATTAGTTAATTGTTTAATTGATTATTTAATTGTTTAATTGATTAGTTAATTGTTTAATTGATTAGTTAATTGTTTAAAAAGTTATTTGGATAGTTAATTAATTAATGGTTTAGTTATTCGTTGATTGAATGGTTGATTGATTGATTAATTAATTTGTTGACTAAATAGTTAATTAATTAATTAATTTGGCGATAATTTCAGACAGCAGCTGTTTCTGTCAGCAACGGAGCTTGAACAGCTGAAAGAGGAACAGGAAAAACAGCAGCTGAAGCAGTCACAGCTGTTGAGCAGCTTTGAATCAGCCGAGAAATCTTGGAAAGAAAGGTTATTTTCCATCCATTAAATTAATCCATGATTTGTTTCTACAAGTTTTATGTGAGAAAAAAATACAACTTATCCGAGAAATTTTACAACATATTTAAACGATGACAATAATAATTATATATAATTATAATTATTTTTATTATATCTTCCGTCCCTACCAAACATTCAATTAGACAACTCAATTCGATCATTCAAGAAAGATAACAGCAACAACAGACCAACAATCTATTAATCAATCAATCGACCAATCAATCAATCAATCGACCAATCAATTAATCGATCAATCAATCAATCAATCGACCAATCAATCAATCATTTACCTGACCAATCGCCGAAGGTTTGAATCTTCGAAGAGGATCCATGCAGAGGAGCGTGACAGGCAGACGGACGTCATCCAACAGCTCACCAAACAAAATGAAAGCATGGCCCAAACTTTCAAGGTCTGTTTCTGCCGGCATGGTATCTTGATACCTTTCTTGTCTTGATACCTTCCTTGCTATCAACCAACCCACGCACGCACACACCACACACATACACACACGCACACATACACACGCACACACCACACACATACACACGCACAGGAACAGCATGCCTGTGTGGTTGAATCACTGCATCTGCAACTGGAAAAGGCCCAAGTAGAAGTTGATAGGTGTCGCACGCGCCTCCAGTCGTTAGAGCCCCTATCCTCCCAACTGCCAGCCAATGGCCTTCACGCTAGGACGAATGCTTCGTTGCTATTGGCTGTCGAAGAAAGACAGGATGGAGAGGTGAATGAATGAATGAATGAATGAATGAATGAATGAATGAATGTATGAATGAATGTATGAATGAATATATGAGTGAATGAATGAATTTCATTCATTTATTCATTCATTCATTCATTCATTCATTCATTCATTCATTCATTTATTCATTCAATCATTCATTCATTCATTTATTCATTTATTCATCCATTCTATCATTTATTTATTCGCAAATGTATTTTATACTTTTTAATATCATAATTGATTTGTAAATGAATGTTAAAAAATACGCCAACATGAACGCCAGGGCTCAGAGTACGTGGATGACCATGACCTTCTTACTAAGGCGAGTGCTTCAGCGTCGTTCAAGATGTTTTTTTTTCATCACAATCCTCTCTTTTCAGCGTTTCTCGTGTGTGCCAACACAACGGCAATCACACAGCCAGATCACTGATGAATCGACTCGTCACACGCCGAACACATTGTATGTGATAGGTGGGGGATCTCGGTATTCGAACCCTGTCATGGCAACATGTCATGGTGACAGCCGTGCCAGACACCTTAACCATTACGCCATCGTGCTTCGACAGAAAGTTTCACTTATCTTCAACTAAATGATGAATTATCTAATTAGTGAATGATGATTTTTATTGGCAACTATGTTTCACATCTCGTCCTAGTGATTTATACAACAACAACACACGTTTAGACAACATTTTCCCTGAGATCGGGGGTTGCCGTTTGGCTACCTATGATGAAACCGAAATACCCCTCGACGCCATCCACATCTGTCACTCGCCTCAGTATCACGCAACCCCGCTTTCACCCTGTCCTTCTCCACCTGCTCTCTCTATCCCAATCGCGGACGACCCCTTCCTACCACTCCTTCAACCTCGAACTCCAACGCTCGCCTAATCCCGACCCTTTCATCCCTTCTCAACACATGTCCATACCATCGCAATCTCGATCTCCTTATCAATGTCACAATGTCCTCATTCAGTCCCATCATTGACATCAGCTCTGTACTACTCCTCCTATCCTTCACTTTAACCCCACACATCATCCTCACCATAGCTCTTTCAGCCCTCTGCAGTACACTTTCCTCCTCTCTCCTCAACACCCAAGTTTTACCACCATATACCATCGCTGTTCTCACACATGCTTTATATACCCTCCCTTTCATCTTCACTGACCATTTCTTTCCACACAATACCCCACCCAGTTCCCTAAATTTCATCCATCCTACACGAACTCTAGCCGTAACTGCGCTCAAACATCCTCCATCCGCGTTCAGCTTATCCCCTAAGTAAACAAAGCTTTCCACTCTTTCAATACCACCACTCAACCCCGTCCTTGCGTCCGTCCTATTAATTACACCATGAACACATTTCTTACATTTGAACGTGCCTTCCACCTTTTTCAGTGCCCCCCTAACACCACTACATCTCTTATGCACCCATTTCTGACATCCTATACACAATACCGAGTTAGCCTTCACTCTCCTGTCACATACCCCACAGGGGTCTATTTTACTTATCACTCGCTCCCCACCTTCCCCACTCACCATTACCTTCGTCTTACCAATATTAACTTTTAACCCTTTCTTTTCAATAACACTTTTCCATCTGTAAAATTTAGCTGCAATTCTTCCATGCTATCAGCCATCAAGACTAAATCATCTGCATACAAAATCTCAAATAACAACCCCTCCATTATGTTTCCACACACAACATCCATCACAATTGCAAACAGAAACGGTGATAACACTGATCTTTGATGCACTCCTACCTTAACACTAAAAGCGTCCGACGTTCCCCTTCCAACCCTCACCTTTGTCTTTGCTCCTTCATACAGCTGCATCACAGCTTTAACAAGTCACTCATTCACTCCTTTCTTCTTCAACGCCCATTCAATGACCTTCCTCGGTACTCGATCAAAAGCCTTTTCTAGATCCACAAAACACATGTACAATCTTCGTTTCTTCTTTCTATAATTCTCCTGCAACATTCTCACCATGAACAACGCATCCACCGTTCCCCTACCAGGCATAAACCCACATTGCATTTCATTAACTGTCACCATACTTCTCAACCTCCTCTCAAGCACCCTCTCCACTACCTTCATTCCGTGCTCTAGCAATTTCACACCCCTATATGACCCACAATCTCTCACATCTCCTTTGCCCTTATACAACGGCACCAACACACTGTGTCGCCAATCCTCAGGTATACCTTCATCATCAAACATACTGTTAGCAATTCTCATCATAACTTCAATTCCTAGTGATTTATACACCTTTGCTTATTTATGATGGTCGAGGATCTTCTTGGATTTGAACTTGGTCACAGCAACATAGAAGCAGGCGCTTTTACTATCTAACTACCTTGCAAAATATCTCTATGTTGTGTTACACTGGTCAATCAATAATAATTATTATAATAATAATAGCACTCTTGTTAACAATTCTGGTCATCGTTGCGATCATCATCATCATCGTTGCGATCATCATCATCATCGTCGTCGTCATCATCATCATCTAGTTACCAGCCACATCAACTGAAACTAAATTGATGAAACTAACAACCGCGAACGTATCAGCAATAACAACAACAACATCAACAACACTCAACCAACAACAACAACAATTGACGTTATCGTTGCCATCTTCACGTCAAAACTCTGTTGTGCCTTTGGATGTTCTTCTCGCTAATCCATCTGTGCCTCCGTCGGAAACCAATGATGATGGTTGGTTGGTTGATTGATTGATTGGTTGATTGGCTGGTAATTGGTTGGTTGATTGAGTGATTGATTGGTTAATTAGTTGATTAGTTGGTTGGTTGGTTGATTGATTGATTGGTTGATTGGCTAGTGATTGGTTTGTTGGTTGGTGATTGGTTGGGGATTGATTGGTTGATTGGTTGGCTGTGGCGAAAGATGAATGACGATCGGTAGCGATGTTGATGATGACGTAAAATGTTTGACTTTAGCTTCTTCCGACGTGTCTAAAGATGAAGAGAGAGTTCTTCAGTCCATGCTTCTGGTTGCTCAAAGACAGGGCGAACACTTGCGTCAGGTACTCTCTTTTCTTTCTCTCTCTCTCTCTCTCTCTCTCTCTTTCTCTTTCTCTCTCTCTCTCTCTCTCTCTCTCTCTCTCTCTCTCTCTCTCTCTCTCTCTCTCTCTCTCTCTCTCTCTCTCTCGATTTTTCTCTCCC